GTTTCTTCCTTCGTATTGAAGACATTTTGTAACTTGTCGAAATTGACGCCTATGAATAAATGATTGCATGATTGAGTGTTAAAATCTGCTATAAACAGTGTTTCTGTTTGTTCAGTTGGGGAGGACAGTTCCACATTATGCACATTTTTGATATATCATGAAGATCGATGTGGATTTTGGAAACCAGAAGCTAGAGACAGAATCTCGCATTGATACCAGAGATCACTGGACTCTCTGCTCTCCCACACCTTAGACAAATATGCAGTTCATAACGATGGAAGAATATCATCAGACCTATGCACCATGTGCTGGCCCCTTAATATGTCATTACTATTGTAAAGCCATACACAATGTGTCTCATTAATATCATTTAGAATATACGTTACCTTTGGTATGAATTAATACCTCGGAGTAGAATCGATGAAAAGAAGATGCAGGCGATGACGAGGACACACAGAACAACGAACCACTTGGTATTGCCAAACATGCTTCAGAACCTGTGATGAGCATTTCCTGCGTATATTCCTCCGTGTCTACACTCATGACAGGAATAACAGAGTGAATTTTACATCCAGAAATAAATGTTATTGCCATTTGGTTTTATGGATACAGATGCGTGTGTATTAACTAAATAGCCTTGGGTATATTGGTCGGGATAGTAACTATATTGATTAGACAGAGACAACTACTTGCACAGGTGTTGTGTTTCCTGGGTTATACATACAATATTCACATAGTTCACATATATTCGCCCACGTGGGGCGTGGTGGGCGAGTTGGCTAAGACGCCAGGCTAGTGATCCTGCGAACATGAGGGGCCGGGATCGAGCCCACCTGTGACCGGATGTACAAAAATCTTGCAGTCCACTTTGTGTGCAGACTCTTTCAGTGTAATCACAACCCCTAGTGTACAGTACACAACCCTGTGCACTTAAAAGAACCCACGAATCCAAGTACTGTGACTATAGCAGCAAGAGTTGTAAGGTCCCCAGGGAGCTGAGGTTGATAATAAGCTGTGCCGTTGAGACTGACATCCAATGATCGAGGAGAAAAAATACCAGCACCTTGAGCATGCACTAGTGCATGGATATGTGCGCTACCTAAATATTCAATAATAATAAAAATGATAGTTGGAAAATGAGCAGGGTAGATTGCGACTAATGTTCATGGTGAAGTATACTAGGTAAACTGAAAAAAGGTTCAATTAAATTCAAATGATTTAGGTTTGGCCGTTTGTCCCCGTAAACAGGCATATTGGGCTTTGAATTCCAAATAGAGTCTTATGCCAGAAGGCGGTGGCTCATGGACCAATCAGGTGGTGCTGACCTCCGAAAAATGTATGTTTCCAATTTCTTGTCATAGGGCCGAACCAATGTGGTATTGAATTGGTAGATAAATACAGTTATTTGCGTCAGTAGAACTCTCTGGAGTAGAACACCCCTGTATCCCTGCTGTCGCATATCGGATATCCAGTGCTTATTGACACTGTCCTTGCTGACATGCCTTGGTGATGGGGACCTGGGGTGCCGAATTAATCCCTTCCATCATGCATCCAAAGCAATCTGGTTTATCTCTTTATGAACCATCTTCTTATTCCTGGTCACCGAAGGTAAAGATCAACTGTCTATTAAACATAATCCATTTGCCAATAGCAAAGCTTCTTTGATGGGCATTTAAAAATTTGATTTGATGAAAAATGATGACAATTTCTATGGATATACAACTTCTTTTATTGTGAAAGGCGACGTTTCGACATAGATTCTAATGTTTCTGTCAAACAAGCCAGTTTTTTCGTCACTCTGAATCTTATGCATAGATCTAAACATGAAACAGTTGCGGCAGTATCACTTGTCGCCTGAATTTCTCCGGCTTTGAAGTGGCTTTTGACGTCGCCTGTTACAATAAAAGAATTTGAATATCCATAAAAATTGTCATCATTCTTCAATAGCAAAACTATTTCTGGAATTTGTGGGGAACCCGTCTTCGTAGTGGCTCGCTTCGGATCGAGTGTGCACCGAATCGTCAATTTTTGAACATGTTGTCAATCAAAGCGTTTGCAAATATTGAGGTTGGTGTGTTGTAGACAGGACATTACATTCCTGTCGCGACATCGTTCGTGACAGAGCTCGATGCCTGTCTGACATGACTGAAGAGGGCATTGCTACAGAACTAACAGAACATTCTGTTACAGCAGTAAAACATTTTACCATCAAGAGAGAGGGTGTCAACATTAAAACCAATACTCTTGACGTTTGCTCGTTCAATGATTCCACCGTCAATTAAAGCAGGATATTTCAACATCGGAGTGGAGGTGTATGTCCATAGTCCGGTGTTATACATTTTACAAGTGCGGGAGTAGAATTGCTCCTGGAGATACAGCAACTGGGGGTACATCTATTTTGGTACGGCAGGGTATTATACATAGCAGTATCTCTCTTAATACCAATCTTCAAACTGTAGCTGATCGTTTTACTTCGCACTTTGTTATGACACGGAGAAGTTTGTATATCCCTCCTTCTTCAAATATGTGACAATCAGATCATCAAAATCTCTATGATCAGCTTCCGAGCCCATGTATTATCATGAGCGATCTGAACGGACACAACCCACTTTGGCGAAGTACGAATGATAAAGGTAACATTCTTGAGGAGTCCTGGAAGATCCACAGATGTTGGGTGACGTGTGTGCACATGCTCATTTTGGTTGAGAAGCACGGCATATTAAAGGATTTACATGATTTTGGTTTGATAGATCGTTTACCTCGTTTTATCTCACACATTTTAGCAGACAGGCAATTTCAAGTCTTTGGCCAACCTTGTCTTATCATTACAATCTGGCCAGCTTTTATACTGTGTATTGTCCGTACACTGGTATTATTGTAACACAACCATATAGCTGGAATATTGCTGAGTGTGGCCTAAATTAAATAATTTAATATCTTTACTGTTGTAGTTGTTATTACTGCCCCTTTTTACACTGTGCATTTATTCCTTATCCATCTCAAATTGGTTATCGTCTCGATATGGCTTGAATATAGCCAATATATATATATATCCACTGTACCTGTCTTGTTGAGTGATATGAGTAGCAAGCTGTTGCCACAGATTGCTCGTTTTGAACACGTGGCTGCCAAGGGCACTGCCTGGCGATCAGATACTTGACACATTCAATTTTAATATATTTGCTTAGCATTATCACACCTGGTACATATTACAACCACTGACATGTACCTGGCATATTGCTGGGGTCGGCGTTCAACAACAAACAAGGGGCACCTGATATGCTGCGGATCTGTGTGAACATCGTGATCACACCACGTGGCTATAGACCTAGGATCACATTCATTTTCAACTTATTAGGGCAAACATGTCTTATCTTTCCATGAATATCACTGACACGTGCCATCGTTGCCCTCGCTGACCCTGACACAATTTGAGGACGCTAAACTTCCATGTAATCACGTGAATATCGACAGAAACGGAGACGGTAGGAGTGATGTTAACGTATTCCTGCTGATGAAGCAGCTTCCCTGGGACTACAGAATTGTGTCCACTGATATGTAAAGGCAGGTTATCCAAAGAAAGATGGGAAAAGCATTTACTTTCACTAAATTATATTTTCATGGGTTTAGAATCACCAACTTTCAAAATCTACAACCCGTGAAGGTCCGGGTTAGAATGAACCTTCAGTAACCCATGCTTGTCGTAAGAGGCGACTAACGGGATCGGGTGGTCAGGCTCGCTGGCTTGGTTGACATGTGTCATCGGTTCCCGATTGCACAGATCGATGCTCATGATGTTGATCATTGGATTGTCTGGTCCAGACTCGATTATTTACAGACCGCCGCCATATATCTGGAATATTGCTGAGTGCGTCGTAAAACTAAACTCACTCGCTCACTCAAAATCTACAAAGTGAGTGAGTTTAAATTTACGCCTCTTATTCCAGCAATATCGAGGCAGGGGACACTAGAAATTGGCTTCACACAGTGTACCCATGTGGGAAGGCTAAAGAGGAACACTTGTTATGGATAACAACTTCTTGTTTATTGCATAGATGAGTGTTGGGTGTAGATTCTTACACCTTTTTCATGATAAAATTTAAACCGAAACGTCGCTCTATGCAATCAACAAGAAGTTGTTATCCATAAAGTCGTATGCTTTATTATTGACTCACCAACTTCTAGAATGCAGATCAAACAAATAATGAAAGTGTGCTTGACGGTGAGGTGGAATTACAATTCATCTGACCGTGGAGGGGTGGGTGTTATTTTCTGTTGGCAGTTGGGTGCAGTTCTGCCACTTATTGGTCTCAAACCAGAAATTGTCCGTGTTATTACTGTTGCAGTTCGGTGTCGATTCCGCAGATGAACCAACCGAATATGGTTGTCTTTTTCTACTGTTAACTTACGTCCGGTAGCAGGTCACACTATCCACAACGTGATGATATTGTGATTAGATAAACTTTAAACTGTCTGGCAGCTTCGTTTTTCTGTTGAAGTTGTGTCGCTAAATACTTGTTTTATTAAACACTGACGTATAAACACGAAACATGAGCTGTTCACATTAAACACAACTGTGGCCATCATGCTCCGAACAAACATCCAAACTCTGTTCCCTGCATGAATGAGTGAGTGATTATAGTTTTAAGCCGCTTTTAGCAATATTCCAGCAATATCACGGCGGGGGACACCAGGAATGGGCTTCACACATTGCATCCACGTGGGGAATCGAGCCCGGGTCTTCGGCATGACGAGCAAACGCTTTAACCACTAGGCTACCTCACCACCCCTCCTTGCATTAACACTGGGAAATTGTGAATCCTGACAAATACAATAGAAAATTTCAGGAAACATGTATCCGTTCTGAACATTTCAAAGACTACCTACTATTTTCCGTCAGTATATGTATATCTGTGACTATCTCTAAAGAGCCACCTGATAAGATAAGAAATGATAGGACGCTGTTTTTATGCCAACACACGGGTAGCGAACACATGTGTATCAACAACATCATGGTAAGTGTGTACTTTCAGGTATTGTGAGGTTTAGATTTCATCAAGCCGTATATGTCCTTTTCATGCATTCATTCAGCATTTTCGCTACTGACTAACATTTTGATGACTGATTGTCCTTCTTATCAAGATGAATCAACTGATATCGTTATTGGTGATCCTGCTTCGGGCAACTTCAATTATAGAATCAAAAGGTACGTGGAATGTTGTTTCTCGTATGTTTGTTAATTGTTTGATCGGCATTCATTCATTTGTTTGTTTGTTGATCAAAGAGGAACCAATGGTTAAAGCGTTCGTTCGTCACGGCGAAGAGCTGTGTTCGATTTCACACATGGGTTCAGTGTATGAAACCCATTTCCTGGTGTCTCACCGTGATATTCTCTGAATATTGCTACACGTGGTGTAAAACATACCCACTCTCTTATTGTTCAACTTGGCCCTCATTATGCTCTACAATCTAAGCCTGTAGGTATTCTATATTACACTTATGTTACGGTTTAGAAATTGCTGTGATAAGAGACTTGTGAGTCCCCTTCGAACCAGCAAAGTATAGTATGACCAGAAATTATTGAGAATTTTAGGAATATGTTTAATTGGATTTTTAGTATAAACAACCTTGACCAGCTATCAATTGATTGGTTTCATTCAAGACAGAAACTCCGTTAATCCTGTTTCATTAGTTTGTGAAGAGTTATCCCCCTTTGTTTACTTGCTAGCAGACGGCATTTTCAGTGATCCTCAGTATGGATGATTTAGAGAAGAGGAGGTTTATTTTAGAGTATTATAACAAGGATATCAGATCGGCTAAAGTGATTTCAAGTAGAACAGGCATCCCTTTGTCCACTGTTGATCGTGTTTTGAAAAATATTGCAAATGGATATGGCATTGAGCACCAGGGAGGCGCAGGTAGGCCCAGAAAATTGACTGTCGGTGACAGGAGGCGGCTTGGTATTCTTGTTTCTAAAAACAAACGAAGGAGTTAAGAAAACTTAAGGCTGGATATGATTGATGGAGAAACTGTGGCTGTCTGTAAGGAGACAATTAGAACTGAGCTGCATGAAATGGGTTGGCAGAAAAGTCGAGGAATTCCATCACCGATCATGAAACCTGAACAAAAGGAGCGAAGGTTAAACTGGTGCTTACAGCATAGAAATTTTAACTGGGACAATGTGATTTTCTCAGATGAAAGTTCTGTGTGGCTGTTTCCTAATACACTGAAATTCTGGACCAAACAAACTGAAAAACCTTTGTATCAGCGTACAGTCCGAAATTTAACGTGTGGGGTGACATATCTGTGTTAGGGGCAACGCACCTCTGTGTATTTGCAGGAAATATGAACAGTGAGCGGTACACAGATATTCTCGAGGGACATTTACTTCCATCTGCTCACGTGTTCTATGGAAATGTTTGGATTTTCCAGCAGGACAACGACCCAAAACATCGTTCAAAGCATTCACAGGCCTGGTTTCGGACCCAAAATATGACATTATTAGATTGGCCAAGCTAAGCCCTGACCTAAATCCAATAGAAAATATTTTGGGGACTTATGAAGGAAAGTGTCAATAAGGAAAATCTGACAAATATTGCTGAAATGAAAGAAGAGATGGTCCGATATTGGGACAGCATGGACCACGACTTTCTAACGTCTTTGATCAGTAGTATGCCCCGCCGCATTGAAGCCTGCATTGCTGCCCATGGTGACTTGACAAAATACTAACTGTTCACCTGTCTTTGAATCTGGAGTTATGTTCTGCTAATATTCACATTTAATACTTGAGTAATGAGTGAAAAAATTATAAAACATTACAATCTTAAATTCTCAAAAATTTCTGGTTGTACTGTAAAACACAGGCGAGTCTATAATATTCAAATGTATATTGAATAATACTATCTTTTGGATCACAATATAAAATATGAACTCACCAAAGTATTGATATTTCCAGTAAAAAAAACAGATGTTCAATGTAGACAACCTCAACAGCCATCCCTTACATACCTATTATACAAATCGAGACCTTTCTAACCAAAACCATGCCCAAACCATGACCATCTAGAAATAACTCACAGCTGACAGCATCGTACCAAAACCGGAAGCAAAAGAAAGGGGAGGTAACTCCCGACCCCACTCTTAAATGGTGAAAATACACAGCTAAGATCAGGGGTGTGCGTTCAAATTGAAGTCAGAGCTGTAAACTTTTGTGGCCCATAATAACTAAAGTTAATTATGTGACAAAATTAACAAAACACATCCTCATAAAAACTTGATTACTGACTGATTGACATTATGATCATTTGTAACACACTGGATCACACTGATCAACAAGTTCTACTTACCTCGAGGGGCGGTGGGGTAGCAGAATGGTTAAAAGCGTCCGCCCATGCTAAAGAACTGGGCTCGATTCCCCATATTGGTACAATGTTTAAGCCCATGTCTGGTGTCATCCGCTGTAATATTACTAAAAGCGATGTAAAAATCACTCTCACTCACTCACTCACTCACTCACTCTCACACACACACACACACACACACACACACACACACACACACACACACACACACACTCACTCACTCACTCACTCACTCACTCACTCACCTTGTCCCACCCACCCACCTACTCACTTGTCCCACCTAGTCCATTAGTGATAATTCTGTGGCTGGGCAAATTACTGTTTGTAACCCCACGGGTCGATATGCTGGGCATGTCTGGTGTATACTGACATGAGACACCTGAACTTACTTTATGCTAGAATATTAGTTGAGAAGACTTGTATGTACGTCATATATTCTCAGATTTACAGTGTCATAACTGTTTTGACGTCGCATCTCCCGAAGACTGCCTACAATTTGTTACCTGCGGACAAGATGAGGTAAGTACATCAGTGAATATCACCTTGTCCGGAAACAATTTCTAAATATACCTTTATCTTTATACTGGTTAGCGTGCATGCTTCGTGTTGCAAAACTGTAACATGTATGCTGAACTATTTCATTTCATTCATCATGTGTCGTGAAGACTCAGGTTACAATTGGTCTTCATAGATCCATGCGATTACCGGTTGACAGAGTAATGTCATGGTGTTCCATTTGCGTAAATCGATGTTAAAGATGTTGATAAATAGATTGGCCGGTCCATACGCGATTTCTAACAGAGCTGGAATACTGCCGAGTGAGGCAGTAAAGAGACAAAAAACAGTGAGTGAATGAGTTAACATTTATAGTCACATCGGCAATATTTCAGCCATATCGTGACTAAAAGAGTTAATATGATAACAATAGATAATATAATATAAAATCTGTCGACAAAGGACAGTAAAACATCTAGGTTATCACCATTTGAGGTATTAAAACTAGCATTTAGCTAAAACAAAATTTACTATTAAGGGCAATACAAAATAATAATGGGCTATAGATCGCCAACAACTAAAGCTAGATCACCATACTAGGGACCATGGGGACTAAAAGTACACCTAAAAAACAGTTATCATGTTTCGATATCATAGCAATTACAAGTGATATGTGTCTACATAGGCTGTGTCCATGAGTAAAATGACCACATGTTGCTTTACATAACGACCCATGACTGGAATATTACTGAGTCTAACACTAAGCACCATACCTTCGTTATGCTCTCATGTGAATATTCTAAGATACTGATCGATACAATTGAACGTGGCTATCTCACGCAATAGTTGATGTTCAAGAACATATTTATCCCTGTCTAGCTTGAAGGTTCGTTTCAAATGAAAGTAGCATCAGGCTTTCCTTCAAATGCGGCCTGGGGTTGCCATTCGCACATCACGACGAAGACTCGGGTTCTATTCCCCACATGGGTACAATGTGTGAATCCATTTCTGGTGTTTCCCGCCCTGATATTCCTGGGTGAGTGGTGAGTTAATATTTAACGTCATATCGACAATATCTCAGCCATATCGTTACAAAACAATTTATACAATGAACATGAAAACATTCTGAAGAGTAAAACCTGTCGACATTGGACAGGTAACGATACTAGAGCATCACAGATATGACTATAAAACTAGCATGTAAAACTAAAACATCATAATTAAAGAAGACAATACGATATAAAACACGGGCTATAGATCGCCAGCAACTGAAGGTAGAACACTATACTACGGACTATAGTGATATTGCTTTAATGTTGCTGAAGCGGCGAAAACCTAAAGTCGCTCTGTTAGTTGAAGCGTATTTTGAATAAATATTCCAAATAACACTGTTAATAACTACTCCGAGTAAATGCCTTGAATAAATGTACGATGACGTTTGTTTGTTTGTTTGTTTGTATAACGCCGCACTCAGCAATATTCCAACTATGTGGCGGCGGTCTGTAAATAATCGAGTCTGGACTAGACAATCCATTGATCAACAGCATGAGCATCGATCTACGCGTTAGGGATACCATCATAACATGTGTCAGCGAGCCTGACCACACACTCACGACTGGGTTCAACATGGGTTGATGATCTTCTCGGGTCAGTCATCAAGAGGCAAATTCATTATGATATGACGTTTTAATCTGCATGTTTAATATATGTTTTAGTTGTGCTGAAACAGTCAGCACAAACTGTATATCTGCGTGGTACACGAATGGTGTTAGGACTCTTACAATTGTGATATGCTGGGTTGGCTACAATTAGCGATAATTGGACATATCGTAGATAAGGAAGAATTGTTAATAATTGTCGATATGAAAATTGTGATGTCGACAACATCGTGCATTTACTTTTTGCGATGAAAAAATGATAATTTTCTCACATAATATACACATTTAGGTCTCTGATCATGGTCTGCTTCTAAATTATATTCACGACTGAACACTGTTTCGTTAATAATCTATGCAAAATCATTTCACCGGTGATGTGAAAATATGTTTATTTCTTTCAGACAAAGTTACGTCAATAATCGATTTATATTTAGCTAACGATAATTGATCCCTATGATATATATCAACAGCCAGTCATAGTGATATGTACAATCCTTGTGTGACTCTGTTACATGTGTGTCTGGCAGTTGTGTTACACCAGAGAGTACACCGACCACAACGGCAAGACCGGATACCACCTTGGCTGTGAGAGTGCAGGGGTAAATACATCACCATCAAGTGTATCATGTAATCATCTGAACAATTAATTACCTCTTTGTCATCACTATAATCAGTCATTGTCTTTACCTTCTTGTGGTCGGGTAGCCTAGTGGTTAAAGCGTTCGCTCGTCACGCGGAAGACTTGGATTCTGGTGTCCCTCGCCGTGATATTGCTGGAATATTCCTAAAAGCGGCGTAAAACCAAACTCACTCACTCACATTACTTCCTTGCCCACTCGGCCGGTGGGGTATCCTCATGGTTTAAGCGTTTACTCTTCACGTCGAAAACCTAGGTTCCATTTCCCACATGGGAACAATGTGTGAAGCCCATCTCTGGTGTCCCCCGCCGTGATATTGCTGGAATATTCCTAAAAGCGTCGTAAAGCCATACTCACAGACACACTCCTTGCCCTCCCCTCTGTCCAGTACCTATTCAGTGTCCATCCGTAGATTTCCTTCGACCTTCTGTTTGTCCATTGCCATCACTTTCAGCGCAAATAAATAGTGTCCACATTTGTTATCTGATCACTGTTGTTGTTTCCACACTTTGCTGAGGATCAAATCATGGATTCAACAGAAAACTATGATGTGGGGTCTAATTTGGTTTAAATATCTAAGCTTATTGTAAGCATGGATTCTAGGTTTCAGTATGTCATTGCATCTTGTGGATCCCATACCTGCTATTGACGTGTGTTGTGTACTTGTCAATGACTCGTTTCATGATTTGCGAAATGGTTGATTGGTGCCATGAAAACCATTTTTATGGTTACTCATGTATCAAGTGCATAAGGTCAGACTAAAATGGCTGTTTGGCTAAAGAGGCGTTACCTAACATTATTTATCTAGTTTTAAATGGATACAATTTCAAATTATAAATCTATGTATAAGTAAAGTTGGGAATTTCTGTGATCCTTAGCAAAGTGTGAGTAGTATATATGGCTATGTTATTCCTAGCATTTGTTCACCTGAAGAATGATTAGTACATAAACCTACTGTGTTGGAAAATCAGATGCACATAACGACATAAATAGCTCTAAATTTGATTTAACACCGAACGCGTAACCAGTCACAATCCAGTATTTACTGAAGTCATGATAGAATTAAGAATATATTTGCGAGACGTTGTGTTTCTCCTGTTAAGTTGACATCCATGCATTTCCCCCTTTTACCAGTATCCATATTGCCGAATACTAGGTCTCTCATACTAAAGGACAGTTTCCTTTCAACGAACATACAGAAATCTTCTCATATCACTTCTGTATTTCAACTTTGTCGTGTGTAATATTGTTTACATACAATGCTGAAGATCAAAATGTTGTTTCGTCCTATATTTGGAAAAAAGGTACGATACCTCGTACATTATGATGTGACGTTTCAGTGTAGATTCTTATACAGTGTCAAACAAGTGCGAAATAATACAGTACAGAACCGACTTATATACAGCTAACAAGGATTAAGTAAAACAACTATGCAGGTTAGAATCAGCAATCGCAGACATCATTAAGTTACTGTCCTCATCACGACGTCGAGTGGGATAATGTAGTAATATTATCAAAAAAAACCTCCAAGACTTCACCAAAAGAAAACTGACAGAAGCAGTTCAAATCCACCGACACAAGCAAACAATCAACAGAGATCAAGGATGTCTCATCCTTTCTGCATACAATGAACTGATGAAAACAAAAGAGCAGAGTACTCCAGCCATCATTGCTGATTGATTCTAACTGCTCTGTATATTATGATCTGTTCCGCCCCAACATACCTCTATTGATTCACCTATATATTTATAAGATACTTGAATTGAAATGTTCCGTTACTTGTAAGAAATACTGTTCTATGGTTAATGGGAACGTCAAAGTATACCACACGTCCAGACGGTAAACTCAACCACTAATTCAACTAATGTCTGGATAACTTGTTTGAGTGGCATTTTAGAAGTTGAGACGTACAATATATAACAAGTTTTATGGATAACAACTTCTTTATTTTCGTGAGTGCGACGTTTCGATACAGATTCTTGTACCGTTGTCAAGCAAGAGTGATACATGAAGTGTAGGAGCTGCATATATATACTGTATATAACAATGAAACAACATAATAGACAAAGGAAACAACATAATTGCCATGATTGGCTAAGCAGTAAGCTGATGAAGCCAGTAAGTACATAAAGGATAGTGAATGGAAGCCAGAGATGTAGTTACAATGAGTTGTTTATACAATGGATGCGATGTTTATACAATAGACTGGGCTTGGTGGAGGAGTGGATCATAAGCAGATGGAATGAAGTATCCTTGGTCACGGTTGATGGTAGGCTTGTGGCGTTTGATGTGAATGGCTTCTGTGAGCTTGCGTTTAGTGAAGTCCGTTTGGTTGTTGGCGAGAATGGTGATGTCGGACCACTCTATTTGATGATTGGGGTTGGCTTTGATGTGGTCAGAGATAGCTGATTTGGTGTCGGAATTAGCAACAGAGGTGCGATGTTCTTTGACTCGGGTGTTGATGGGTCGGGATGTTTCACCTATGTAGCATTGTCCACAATCACAGTCTATTTTGTAAATAACACATTTCGGGTTGTTGTTGTTGACGGTGGGTTGTTTTCTTCCCGTTGGCATGGAGGAGGTTGTTGAGGCTGGAGGACGCTGAGAAAGGTAGTGTCTATTCCTGCCTGTTGTTTCAGGAGTCGGCTGATTTGGTGTGATGGTTTACCAATGTAGGGAATGGATATCTTGATGGGTAATGTCTGGATGCTATACATTAGTGTTCCATAAGCTCTAATGTCTTCATGGCAACAACCGAGACTGTTCATATCTGACTGTACGATCATTGTTTAGTTAGCACTGGGTATTTTTAAAAAATGGTGATATTTTAAATGATGGCATCAGTTTGGCGGATTATCGCTGCTTCGTCAAAATATAAACGGTGTTTAGAAAGGGTGAATATTTTGGAGGTTTTCTATTTTTTCTTTATTTTTTTTCTGGGCTCAAAGTTAATATAGGGTAAAGATACAATTGTCCAGACACATATCATTTTGTATATTAATTGTTCTTTTAATTTGTTATGTAACAGATTTGTAATATTTTGAAAAACGCACAAGATCTGCTCGGCAAGAGGTCCGTCGGAAGCATAGACTCTGAAGATCCCTCTCAAATGTGCTACAAATGTTGTGACAAGACCCTCTGTAACCTGAAGGTCTGTGACCCAGTTGGGCCGACCACTACGGGAGGCGGTGAGTACAATATTGGTCACCCACACATTCACGTGGACATTAAAGTATGTATCATGATTTCCAGTAATGTGAGTGAAGGCATACTCCTTCATTAGTATACTACGATAAGACAGATGGCAACATACAATGAATATACACCAGCAGTTTCAGAAACTTCAATAGACGTAAACCATAAATGTTTGCCTTGCCTGGAAATGGTAAAATGTAACACAACTTATGTTTTGAAGTTGGCCAGGGGAGGTACACAGAGTATGTGAATATATGAAAATTGCCCCTCTTCTAATTTATGGCTCAGTGAGTTGGGTGGTTGAATACGTGCTTTCACTGAGACTGTTTGGTCCAAATCATAGGTGGACCTCCACCTCAAATGAGACTAGAATTTGCAGACCCGTGATGTCCGGGTTAGAATGACCCAGGCATGTCGTAAGAGGCGACTAAAGGGATTGGGTGATCAGGCTTGCTGAGTTGGTTGACATATGTCATCGGTTCCCAATTGCGCAGATCGATGCCCATGCTGTTGATCACTGGATTGTCTGGTCCAAACTCGATTACTTACAGACCGCCACCATATAGCTGGAATATTGCTGAGTGCGGCGTAAAACTAAACTCACTCACTCACTCACTAGAATTTGCAATGGACTGACGAGGTTTAATTGGACAGTTGTGCCTGTAGTGTTTGGTGATGTTGGCATACACGTCTATCTACTTCAACCAAAGGGATCTGGAGGACCATGACATTAAACTGGGGTTCTAAGTCAACAGCGACACGAGGTGTGTGTGGTGTAGTACTGACAATATATCTTGATTCCCTTGAACCACCACCAAGTCATTCCTCCGTGTTGTGAAGCCAATTTAATCGCACGGTGGTGGCTTGTTCTGTTCTATAGGTTGTCCCCGTAACTTTGTGAAGTCTCCCACGAGATGTTACCATTTCACTGTGAAAACCTGACGTGGCACGACGCTAGTGATGCATGCCAGAAGATGTCGGCAGATCTTGTGTCTTTCAACACCCCTGAGGAATACCAGTTTCTTCAAAGCACGCTCGTAAGTAGACATGGCGTTTTATACCAGTGGTGATCCTCAGCTAGCGAGTAAGCAAATTAAAGTTTGTAGGCCTATCGAAGGTATAGCAAGATGTGTTTAGTATCTTTGGAAAGCTTGAAATCCTTAGTTTTCCAAACTGACAATTTCAGTCAATATACCATTTCGGGTATTTTATAACATTTAAAACAGTGGCATTGTTTCATTCTCTATCATCTTGAAAAATATTGATTTTGTTTGTGGAAAACTTTATCAGACCCGTGAAGATCCAGGTTAGAACTGATCTTCAGTAATCCATGCTTATCGTAAGAGGCGAGTTACAGACCGCCGCCATATAGCTGGCATATTGCTGAGTGCGGCGTAAAACTAAACTCACTCCTCATGATATCAGAGTTCTCATACAACATGACGGGTATGTCTTGCCACTGTTGACCAATGTCATTTTGCCCTCCTTCAGCTGCTGATACAATACCGTGGTTCTGGGCGGGCGGTTACTACCACAACACCTGGCAGTGGGTGGACGGGACTGCTGCCACCAATATACAGTGGTATACAGGCTTTCCGAAGCACGCTCCCAACGACACCGACTACCGCTTGGCTATTAACAACAACACGCCGGAGAGGTTCACCTTATACGAAGCTCTCAGAACCAGCGAGAAACCGTTCATCTGTGAAAGGCCTCATCTGTCTGCCTAATATGTTCACAACAACAATAAAAGTACATTTCATCAAGGTCGTTTCTCGTTTCTACGACACAAGAATATCGGTATCGGGTGGTCAGGCTCGCTGACTTGGTTGACCACATGTCATCGTATCCCAGTTGCCTGGGTCGATGCTCATATTGTTGATCACTGGATTGTCTGGTCCAGACTGGATTATTTACAATCCGCCGCCATATAGCTGGAATATTGCTGAGTGCGGCGTAAAACTAAACTCACTCACTCACTCACTTCTACGACACAATGTCTAATTAATGTTATTGTTATTCTTACCGTAACTATAGCCTCAGGTGATTGTTATTGCTGTGGACGCTCCAATGAGAGAAGGAAGTCTTCTTTGGGTAAAGCAAACGTCCCGTGACACTCACTATCCACTTTTATAAACCCATACAAATGTGCACTTTAAACAAATAGTTTCTGTTTTTTCAATTCGGTTCACGAGTAGGTAATCGGATTGCGATTCCATTGTATTACATGGGATTACATTATAATCGAACTGACGTAAATCGATCTTATAGTACTAAATAAAATGCATCCCGAAGTTACATCACTTCATGAATACAACTATACATCATATTAACTTATGTTTATTTGTAGATGAACGAAATATATCTTTCATGGGATATACCAATATGTCTTTACAAAGGATGTATTTGCAATAGGGATTAAAGCACTGTAAAATCATTGTCCTCCTGAGAGGATACGTAAGTCCCAAGACATTCAAAGAAAATTTAATCTTACCATTTTTTTAATCGTAGAACATGCCCATATGTAATGTATGGCTAGCAGCTGAAGGGATGGTTTAAATCAACTTACAGTCCATACAGGAAGCAGATGTACTGTAAGTCCCCATGGACCCTTATACTCCGCGACCCGGTCGACAAACAACACAATAAAATGTTAATTCTAACAGACTCATTCAGCAGGCTAAAAGCAATAGAAAACAAAAACATAAAAAATAACCTAAACTAATAAACGAAATACTAAAAAGCACCAATAATATAAACAACGTAGGCAGTAGAGTTCAAAACTGGCAAAGTAAGTAGCATGATTCAAATTCTAAACTAAAAAATCTACTTAAAAAACCCTCAAATACTACAAGTTTATCATAAATTAAAATATATATATTGACAAGGCGATAACCAAATTACAAACAGGCCACATAAAATTTCATTCCCATCGACATGAAAAAACAACAACAAAACACCACCCGGGCATAAGTACACGCTGCAACGAAACAGAAACGCCCGAACACGTCCTACTACACTGCAGCATACACTACCAACAACACAGAAACTGACGTCCACCTAACACTACAAAGACTTTTAAGCCCATTAACAACCAAAACTCAGCCTTAGGTATATTTCTAGTCAAAACGTGCCTCCAAGAACGCATATAACCCCACATAACCTACTAGTACCAATATAAAAAAATCCAAGCCACATAACCTGAGCAGCAAAAAGAAACACACTAAAAGACATAGAAATAAATACCAACCACACCACCCCGTAGTTCAGCTCTCCTTTCCACTTCTGGCAAATATCCAAATTAAAAATATATTCATCCGAGATATCTACATCATTGGAAATCGTTGTTACTAAGTGTAACCGGGTTAGTGTTTGGATGTCATTAAGTCAAGGACACTGGTTACGGGGGTGAGAACTTTATTCCTGATAATAGCAACACCCTGAAACAAAACATGATTCAATAAATGCAAAGTCATTATATGTACATAACATTTAAACCCGTCACTACTTCTTTCAGATGAAATGCTATAGTCATACACATTCTAGGTAAACAGACTACAAGGGGAGATCACTCCTTTATTTACTGCTTACACATAAATGACATAAATATTGTTAAAGGTCGAGGCATATGAATTCTATAAACATGCCCAGATAGAATATATGGATGACACAATACTATATAAACATTTATAACAAGCACAAGGTAGTGCCTACCCGGTGTATGGCACTAGGATGCAGAGTACAGCGCCTACAAACCAACCAAGCCAGTCAAGCGTACGTATAATCTGTGTAAACAATAATCAACGTAAAGGTACGATAACTCAAGCTCTATATATCTTCTATCATTTCAAAACCTAGGATATAATGTAACCAGTTCAAGCTAATAGCACATTCATACTTACATTCACATATACACTATCCTTTCTCTCATTTATAACATGAATCAATCAAACGTCCAAATATGCAACCATTCACTTCATAAGAAACTGCAAACACTTTAATGAACTAGATAACTTATTTGGATATTTTTATATTTAATATTATACACTAAAGCATTATTGGGTTATAATTTAGCTAAGTGACTGGTTGAATCTAACTTGTACACTTACACACATGTTACAGTTGATATTTACATAAACTACATCTTATATTTACACATAAACATTAACAATATAGCATTTAAAGGTATATAAACTGATTGATTGATATAAAAGATTTAACTGACCTTTAGTGATTTTATAGAGCGAATTGATCCCAACACAGGATAAGCGTCTTGCTGGAGCAAGCAGTGACAGTGAAGTGAAGATTTAAATTATTAAAAAGGGCACGAGTTTGAATAATCCAATCAGATTGGATCAATTAAGGTCACATAATAATGTAGTGACCCTACCTAACTACCCTTAAGTTCAACCTTTCTTAAAGAACATTACCTAAGTTTTGTCGAAATTAATATCTAACCCGTACTCTATGCAAAGCCGTTCCAATGCATTGGTACGCTTTTGTAGACCTTCAAATACTATCTGAGATAAGAATAATGTCATCTGCAAATAATAGAAGAAACAGTTGTGTGCGATAACTGGGTGAAGTTGTACTCTTGTTCAATCTCAATAGCCAACTCACTAATGAATATTGAGAACAACATCCACGCGGTAAGGTAACATTTCCGAGAGCATATGATTATATTTTAACGCTAGCCGTCACCGCTGCATAGATATATCGTAAGGGGGCTAACCACTTTAGGAGATACGCCTCTTTTCTTTCGCACTGACCATAATTTCTGCAACAACTGGTACCCGGAAGCAACGTCAACTTCATCCGACAGTAGATAGCCAGCATCCGTACTAAAGACAGACCCCAGAAACACAACCTCACCCATCACGAAAGAAATCCCTCCACATCCTAGAACCTGACAAAACCATCACCCCAACCCCAGCAGACTAAGACAAGGCAACGGTCATCATGGACACAGTCCACTTCACCAGCCCAACCGACACCATCCTCCAAGACCAGACAACGTACAAGCAACAAAGAAGAACCCCACCAACACACTACAAAAGAGTACAAGGCATTACTCAAGAAACTCCTCAACAACAATAAAATCGGCCCGACCCTCCGTAAGCCACCATTTTCCCTGTAATTTTAACATCCACAAGGTTTCTGTGATTGTTTGGTCTGTATTAAGCTATGGCGCGGCTATCTGGGCGCTTACGTTGTACCAGCGGTAAATGCTGTGCATCACAGGGCAATTCGCTTTTCATGGGACATGGCAAGTTCGCCCCTAACGTTGCAATTAATGGGGATATGGGATGGGTCCCAAATATTAATAAGACAATGTTCTTGTATTTCTATGCAGTAGTGTTTTTATTAAATGAAAAGCAGATTAAATAAAGTGGTGTTTGTATGGGCGGATATATGTGGGTTAACTGGTGTTAAGAAATGTAATTTTAGATTAAGGAAGAAGTCTACTTCCCTTGCTTGACATTACTTTTCAGATGCACCTATTAAAATTAACAAATCTGTTTTGTGTACACTTATTGAAGATAAGGTCATGAATGAGTTTGTTACCTCGTGGAATTTATTGTTAAACAGAGAGGAAGGCAGAACCGGATGAATAAACGTAGACGTAGAATAAACACATTTTAAGTGTGATTTTATTACAGAATATTATATTGTCCATCATATGCCAAGACAGTTTAGATCGGCTTTGTCAAAGTTTCGATGTGGTGTTGCTCCGATTAGAGTAAAACTGGCCACTATGAAAATATTTTACTAGAAAATATAAAATGTTTTAATAGTAATAATGATGTGGAAGATCAATTACATATTATGTTTCACTGTGGGTTATATGATGATCTGAGAGAGACCCTTTTAACCAGTGCATTACTTTATCTCCAGATGTTTGTAGATAAATGTTATATTGATAGAATGTATTCAGCGATCCTTTTGCATGTTTAAATACTGCCAAAATATCTTTCCTTATTCTAAAACGTAGAAGATAATTATTATATGGTTAAA